ATGTTTAAATTTAAAAAAGAAATTCTTTGACAGTTTGGATGAAATTTGTGTGTGAACGCGAAATTGATATTTTATTATTGTAAAGACTGCTTTTAAAAACGCTCAAATTATTTGAGTGTCTCAATGAAATTTTGTGTGAATATAAAAGCTGATAAAAAGCTTTTTCCTTCACTGTGAAAGTTGTTATGACAGAAAATATGGACAGATATAAAAGAAATTCTTAAGAGTTTGGATAAATGTGTGCATGAATGTAAAAGCTGATATTTCATTGATTATGATTGGTGCTTGGACTAAAAGAGTGGACATTTAAAAGGGAGAAATTCTTGACAATGTTTGGATGAAGTTACACATGAATGTAAAAACATATTTTCGATTACTGTGAATGCTGGCCATATTCATTGTTCCTATACTATTTTCTTGTTAGCTGCCAATTTTTAACAGTTGGCCTGGGTATGTATTTTTTTTAGCATGCTGTTTCATTCATGGTTACAATTGTATAATTTTTATTGAAGTTTTCTTGGGTGCATGGAAGATAGCAATTTTTTTTTTCTGTTGAGTCAGTTCTTCTTTATGTATATGTGTAGAAAAGATTGTAAAGAAAGGTTATGATATCTGTTTGTTCTAGTTGCAGATTATTTGACGCATTTTTTTTTTTTTTTTAATTATTATCAAAGTGGCTTATTTTCATCATCTGCATAATTTTTATGAAATTTCTTTCCATCATCATTTAAAAAAAAATTCTCACTTTTTTTTTTGGTTGTTATCTTTGTATCTGTCTCTTTTCTGTTCTTCTCTATGGGCAGGAGAGCCACCTTAACTCTTAGAAACTATAGTTTGTCGTTCATTATTTTGTGACTTTTTAAAAAAAAAACTCTTTCTTCACACCTCTTTTTTGTCTCTGTTTTGCATGTAGTACATTTTCTTGCTGGTCCTACCATATATAGTAATTCCCAAAGTATAAGTATTTCAGACGCATCTTGATTTTGGCACAGGTAGTCTGTAATAAAAAAAATTATAATATGCGATTATATAAATCTACTACCATTGTATAAGATGCACACTAGAGACACTATAGTTTGGGAGAATAAGTGCATCCTAAACTTGGGAAAAATGGTATAGTATAACCTTGTTTCAGTGTTCCAGTCTGATAGAGGAATGTGAAATCTGCAGCATAGTCTCATCTGTAGTTGGTATTGTTGTACTGGAAAGTGTCCCCTCTGAGTGAGGGACTTTCAACCCCACTAAAACCGCACATAGAGCGAATAACATGCAGTGATAGAAGGTACCACCATTCGGAGGATAATTCCCCATTACAAGTTCCAGAAACTTGAAATTATATTAGGGTTCCTGGCGACTGTGGGCGCGTGGTTTTCAAATAACAGATATATGGCTTCAAGTCTATCTACCAACCTCGCTGTTATAGATGAAAGATCTGTCTTCAGCAGTATAAAACAGTTATATTGGGGTACTTTAGGGCTTCATGATGTAACCTGAGTAGATAGAAAAAAACCTAGCTTACACAGTCCTTGATGTCATTCCGTAAGGCTAAAGAGCTTAAAAAAAAAAAAAACCACGAGAGGATTTCCGTCTAACCAGCCACGCACACAGCGTCCAGAAATGTTTCTTTTCTTCTCCTTTTTCATAATTTATTACATGAGCCGCAAGCCGAACGGTTAACAACACAGGGTTAAATCCTCGGAAGGCGTTGGATTGTTTTGTCAGGACAGAAATAAAATCCCAACCTGCACAGTCCAAGGCGGCGGCACTAATAATATGGTCTTAAATCCTCAGACTTGATAAGCCCTGTCACAAACCACTCAAAAGAATGGTAAATAGGGCAGTATAGAAAAATCCTTCACATGAGGTCTACAATACCTCTCATTGTATATTACTGTTCCCACTTGCACAGATACTGTCTTCCCTAGAGTTCCCTTTCAGTTATGTTGCTCATGTGTTGCTTCCCTCATGCATACAGTCATCTCCTTCACACCATAGTGTATGTGCTTTAAACGTCACAAGTGAGAGAGAGAGTCAACCTGTCCTAGTATGTACAAATTATTATATACACTTTAATAAAATACGTATTTTCAAACTGATTGTTTGGAGACATTGGGAAAGAAAACACACAGGGAATTTCATACCC